GTCACGGAACGGATTAAGTTCATAAGTAGAGGTACCACTGTATTTGTGTTTCTTTTCACTGGCTCCAGAAGGAGAAACAAAGATTTAGGCACTTCAGGGGCAGTTAAAGAGATAGCCTTTACTCTGCCAACATCTGGTTTCTGAGCCATCAAGTGTAGCTGCTATTGATGAAAGAGAAAGCTATACAATTCATAAGTATAGACAAGGAGTAGAACATCTAATGTTAGCATTAGATGTTAAAGTTCAAGAAGCTAACTAAGATTCAGAGAAAAGACTAAGAGTGAAACAGAGGACAATAATAGATGCCAGGGCTTCCTCTTGTCATAATGACTAAAGAGACAATAAGATCAGTAATTTGACACACAAAAAATGAATAACTTAGAATAAGGGAAAAGGGAAACCATGGAATATGACAATGGGTGAAGTAGTAGATGAAGAATTGAGAACATTAGGAATCTGAGGTAAAATATATGGACAAAAAAGGCATGAATAATTTAAAATAGATTGGAATGGTCATGGACACCCCCCCACACACAAAATCCAAGAAGTTCAATTTATGCCACTTCAAACATTAGGGATTTAGGGGATTAAAAGAGTAAAATGCAGAGACAGGTGCCTCTTGATCGCTGATCAGATGCTGAAAATGCAGCATTATGTAGATCCTGAAGAATCAGAGTGGGCAAGCCAGCCTTGTTCATAGGGGCTTCCTAGATATGTTAACAGGCTGTTGTTACTTTATCGTTAGTCGGTAATATTAACACACTTGACCAAAATAAATTATAACCATTGCAGTTTTCTATATTGTCTGTGTAAGACTGTGATCTTTGTCTTTAACAATTTTATTTTTAACCTCATTGTGCTGTTCAACCACAGACAAGTAAGCTCCAAGGACTATGTAAATCAATAGCTGTTTAGACTATAGAGAAAGAGTATAAATGTTTCTATAGCACTTTTTGGGTAAATTAAATCTCTAGGCTGCAAATAAAAATTGCTTTTAAAATTCTACACAGAAAACATGTCTTTTCAGAGCCTTATAAGCTGTGGCTCCTTTTGGTTGTGGGTCACTTCCAGCAGAGAAACAGTAGAAGGTGATACCAGATAATTATCTGTTGAGATCAAATATGGCCTGTAACATCTCCCCAAAATTACAGATTAACAAGTGCTTTGCCTGTAGCTAGAAATTAGTTGAGGATTTACCATAAAAATTAGGCACTCAGTTTCTATGCTATATAGTAACTATTTCATGTGTGGCAGGTTAGAATATATGTCTTCTGTTTTCCTGGCAGTTTGCTGACAGTGTTTAACTTAACTTTTATAATAAAACACATTTTACAATCAACAAAGCATGACTAACTCATTGATACTGTCCCAGGAGTAAGATTCCATATAACTATTCTATCTATGATGTATGTGTGAGAGAGATACCATCACTATTGGCCAGTTGTGTCTGTGTGTATGTATAAAAAACCTGGGAGTTCTGGCTAGATAATTCTAGACATTAGGGTTTTTGTTTTGTTTTGTTGTATTATATTGGGAATCCTGACTGACTTTAATTTCAGTCCAGGGATTTAGTGCTGAAACAGCATCAGTCAGCCTGCCTAGATGCCCAGGTCCCCACCTGTCATCACTGAGTTGTCATTACTACAGTTGATATGATTCAAC